AATGTTTAATGTTTAAACACTCTTTAATACCAATAAATCGGTTAAAAAAGGCGCCCGTTTTTAATTTCCAAATGGAGGCCGAAGGAGTAATTAAAAAAAACTGGCAACCACACTTTTCTTAATCAGTAGTGTTTTTAGAGTTGTTTTAACATAATTGCCAAGAATCTACCCAAAATTTTGCTTTTTCTACACCAGACAACAGACTATAACATAGGCTCTACTCCTTAAACCTTAGATTATGTGAATAGTAATCAATTAAAGGAATTCCTTAACAACATTTATATTCCTATATTATTGATTAATTATTTACTATAGAATGTAGTAAAACGTATCAGCAGGCTCCTAACCTCTATATGATGAAAATTCTCCAGTGCCAAGCCATCGGTACTTGCTGAAATCTAGGCTATTATGTAGGCCGACATAAACGCTATCATTTATCTTTGAATCCTGAAGTCTTGTCGCAATCAAATCCCTTTCACTACCGGAGCTTACAACCACAAGATCACCACCATTCTGTTGACAGATTGTTCTTGCAGCAAACCAGCTCATTGGCGTAGTAACTACCAAATAACATCTGTCATTCCATGTTTTCCAAAGGGATGATGGGCAGTGAGGTGCGGCTATAATGATATAGTAACAAATAGTCACACATTCTAGAACATATTAATTACCTTACTTTTATTGAATTAATATATCTATTTTCCATTGGTGCTCCTGTAGGGTAAAAGGCCTAGGATTATAGCACTTTTGCAGAAAAAGCTGGATACTTAAGATTATTAGTAATTCTGTTCCGACTTAGCCCATTTGAATTACCTATTTCTTTGTTACCATCACAACCTTACTACAGGCTTCAGTCCAATGATTGTAAACTAAAGCATTCAAACAATAATTTGGCTTTTAGGTAAATGGATTGTATACAAAAATATGTTTGTTTGGGTTTTGGATAATGGAAGTCATATAAGAATTACATTTTCTGTGCTTTTAGATAAATAGAATGAACATAATAATTAGGTTTGCTTGGTTTTTAGATATATGGAATGACTGCAGTAGAGTAGCACTTGTAATAGAAATCCTGGGCCACTATAAAGGGCGGATTTTTTTGTTAGGGGTTGGAGGCAATTAAGAATTTCAGAAAATAATGTTGATCATTTTTTTTTAAATTTAGGCCAAAGGCTTACTATTCTATTATTTCATAGTCATACTTATATACGTATAATCATAAAATAATGTGTAAAACACATTGGCAA